ATCCCAAGACCTTTCCGAAGCAGCGACCTCTGTTCAAAGACTCTTCGGAACAGCCAAGTGATTGAGAGAGTGGGTCGTTTCGAAAGAATTCGCTTCTGCCAGTGAAAGTGCCCATCCAATTCCAGAGCGGTTGGCCTTTCTGGATGAGGCCTGTCCTCTTAGTCGTGATCGCTTGAGCGAAACCTATCGTACCACTCCGTCACCGTACCACGGCGGACAACACCAGTAACTAACGTGAGCAGATAGAACGTGAACGTGAGCAAATGGTTTCGACTGCGTTGAAAGTGCGGAACACATACAGCATAGCGTGAAGGTGGAGTTTTTCACCCACCATTATTTGGAGGATATCAGCATTCAGGCAGACGCTACGCAGAGACTGTCAATATCTCAGCAAGACTTCGCAATGTGGATTATATTGGCTCATTGACCGGAACACATGATCAATACCGGAAATTTTCTCGCAAGATTCAAAAAATGGTACGAGTTAACCTAGTATGTATTATATGTATAGACATATATAATCACTTGGGAGCTTCAGTAGTGATGCCAGATTTGAGTCATGTAAAACCAACGGCTTTGGTCGAAGTTCAAGGCAGAAGTTATCATAAATCAGGAGATGTCAGTCGTTCTGGTCCGCTCTCAACAGGTTCCAAGTCGGAAATGTGAGGGAAAGAAGCAGGAGGAAGAGCCTTGGAATCTGATTGGGATTCCTTACGTTGTTTCTTGAGTTCAGCATTCTCCTTCTTGAGTTCTTCCTTCTCATCAGATATTTTAACAGACCATGAGACAAAGTGGAATAACTAAGCACAAGAAATAGAAGTAAAAAAATAGAAGTACACATCCACTTGTGGCAATGGAATTAAGAAATTCGATCCCCGCCACAGGGAATCTCAATTGTACTGTTATTGTTACTTCAGCAATAAGATACTTCAAGTATAGCAGCGTAGATGATAAACAATCAAACCGAAGACGAGCAAGTGGAATAAGAACAGAGAGTGGAACAACCACAACGGTTCAAGATGAAAGTTGCCGTAAGAATAACCATAATAATATACAACCACAAGTTTGGTGTGCCTGTGATTTATTCGACTGGGTTTGTTCAAACTTATACGGCGTTTTTGAACTTGAACAGGTGAGTCAAATTGGACATTTTGAAACAAGTAGCGTATAGGTCAGTCTACTAGGTTGTCGCAAAAATAACCTCGGATTTCGTGACGCAACATTTCCTGCCAACTTTACTACAGGTACAGTAATCATAGACCGATCACATTTTGAGTCGATGCATAAAGAAACGATTTTGGTAGAACAATGGGTGGACGTGTAGGGGTGTAGCATAATGTAGGTATAGTACCAGGAAATGTGTGTATCTAGTGATCTAGCTATGAACACACCTCAATTTCCTCTAAGATCCCCTTTCTAGGACAAGCGAATAGGAACGACTTCAACTCTGTGAATACTGCGTTATTTTTCGACAAGCGATTGAAGAACTTGCAGCTTTTTTCTCTTTAAGTGAACAAAGCAAGATTATTAAGTTATTTGTCGTCTAAGAGGAATACATGGGAAGACCCAAAAACAGAACAGCTCAGAGCTACGCAGTTAACCAATAAGTACGGCTGACCTCATCAGTGCGTGCGAGAGCTGAAAAGTTGTGGCTCGAAAAATTTCGAAGGCACAGTTCAAGATAATCTTGGGGTACCCAGGTTAAGAAACAATGCAAGCAAAGGTTGAGAATAGTGCGCTGGTAGGGAAGGAAACACGAAAATCGGCGTTTCCAGCGAAATTAGAGGCTTCACGTAATGAAAAAAATTAGGGTTAGACGGCAGTATGACGGAGAACGCTGTAGAACGCGTGCTTGGACGAGCTGAACGCAATGTGTTCCATTGCGTACAGGGGTTTCAGTGAGCAAAAATGTCTTCAGACCATCCCATCACCCTAGGCAACTAGCAATTTGCATTTTAGGGTGAGAATCATGGCGCTAATTGTGCAGCCTCTACGACCCCGACAACTCGTCTGAATTCTTGTCCGCATCCACGAGTGGAGGTCGGTTAGGGTCGTCTTCCGGCCCATACTGCGTCCCATACAGACCGTATCCCGGTAGCGCCCTTTGTGATACTTCTGGGAACCACAGAAAATCTCGAGGGGAAATCTCTAAAACCATTTTCATCGTAAACTGCGCCTCTAATAAAGCTAGAGCAAGCTTGGAATTGGCATAGCAGTGCACAAAAGAATATTTGCACAGCTACTCTGTTGGTTCATCGGGTCGCCAGTGAGTTTTGAGCTACAACACTTCTACTACATTAATTCTCGGATGTGAGGGTCGAGAAATATTTCTTCTCCTGAAAACTTCTAGAAGCTTCTCCTTTTTTTTCTCGACGGAGAATCTTCTTATAGCAGACGTATGGAGACACTTTGAAAAACAAAGGAACGTAATTGAGATCTATAATCTTGAGTCCTTAGTCAGCTCGGACATTCTGTTCGACATGCTCTGAATGAAGCTCAGAATGTTTTCTCGCCAAATCAATCAAACAATTTATCCCAAAGCCACAGTCGCAGCCTTCAGTTCTCCACGCTGTACTGACGATGGTTGAGCTAGTCCCGCAAAACCGTGGCCCGCCGAGCTGGCCAATCCACCATATTGACATAGTAGCGTTGAAGCCATTCCTTCGTGAACCGTGACACGTGAACAGCTGCATTGTCTAGCTGGAAAGAATGTGTCCTGCATTGCGCACCTCTCAAAAATCGTAGATGGATGAATGAAGCACTTTTTGATTCTTCTAGCTATCCGTTCGGCATGAAGGTAAGACCAGCTCCAGTTTGTCTCTACTTCAAGAGCCGCTCACTTCTTTTATGAGGCTTCAAATTCTTTCTTGCTTCTCGTCACCGTAAACTAAAGAGGAAAATTGGGGAAACCGATATTCAAACTATACTAACAGAGCTCCAGAATAGTTGCATCTTGTCCTACGAAGTTGTCATGTTCCCGCGTGATAATTTCAGCCTTGCCACTTTGTATTGAGCATTTAGACGAGGTGCATACTTCATTACCTCCCTTGTTATGTGCTCGTGTGATCGAATGCATTGAGAAATCGTCATCCATGAGAACCGCTAATTTTACTGAAGCACGAATTTGGCTAAGAGACAAGGTGAATTTGAAGCCTCCGAGCTTTTCATGTGCGGTCCTGAGCTGCCAAGCTTCGAAGCCCCCATAATGGGAGCTAAACGGTAGAAATCGAGATTTTGAACGTTGTTTCCGATGCATGAATGAGAGATTCCGAACTGACGTGCCACTTGTCGATTTAAGCGTCCAGCTTCATTGAGCGCCCTCATCTGAGCTCGATCTTTCCCCAAAGGAAGGTGACAACGAAAGGGAATGGCGTAAACTATGTAGCTGGAACGAGAACTACCGAAAACACTTCAGGATTCTGGCGCCAAAGTAGGACCATATATGTACTTTTGATATAAAGAAGACTTTTCGCTAAAAGAAACGATTAGCAGCTTCTCTGAGTTTTCGAAATAGCAGGTATTTCTAAGTTTTCGTACCCGAGGATTCGAAAAGATGGGACGATTTTAAGCTGGTTCAATAGCCGGGCTTTTGCGGCTACTTTTTTTTCCTGTGGTTTAGAGGATTGCTTGATTGAATCGCCATTACTTTTTCAGAAATGATAATGCATCTGTTTAAACGAATTTTGGGAAGTGAATGTAGCGACTTCGGCGGGCACTACAAATTCCACTTAAAACATGCTAGTATCATACGCTTAACGTATAATTTGTATTGTATCACAAAGGCCAGATCAGAGCTTACATTCACTGCCTTCAGAGCCATCAAGTAGAAATGCTGATATTCAGCGATTTGTGTCCATTTTCGTGCTTTGTGTGTAGGCTAGGATTCAAGCATAGATCTGCTCACTCCTCCTTTAAGATCCTGTTAATGTTGACGTGGTTACAATTGAGTTTAAAGGGAAATTGAACGCTATGGGTTACCAGGACATTCTTATTTTCTCACAAAAGGAGGAAGCCCCTCGTAAGCGGGTGGTTCAAGTTGAAAAAAAAGAAAAATTGTGTTACTGACAACTGTGTCACGGAGGCACTGGGAACATCTTTTTTTGCTCTAAATGCATGTTGAATAAGTGAGCGTTTTGGCGATGAGGCCAGTCGCGATTAGTTCAAGTGCTCTACACCTTCATTCATCAGCGAAAAGAAAGGAGTTGTTATATTCTTGAACACCATTGTGGGTTGTGCCTCTAGTTGTATGCAGCGTCTGCCACCTCGAAAAGAGCGAACATTCCCAACAATCACATCTTGTTCGATGGAAAGCAATTTTGTGTAAAACTATCAGATGCTGATTAAATAAATAAAAATAAATAAATGAAAAATGTTGCTAAATAAATATAAATAAATAAAAAACAGAATAACAGCGGAGTACTTAACGCACCAAGCCCCCTCTAAAAACCGAATAGTAATACTTGGTGACTCGAGCTAACAACACTATTCCCCGCGCTCAAATATTCGCGTTCAACCATGACCTAATACTGCTGCATTGCATTTTGGAATGAATGAAGTTCGATCAAGATATGCACATATTGAAACCAAGCGATCATCGGGGGAATATTTTCTAATATGAAAAGTACGGCAAGAGCCATGGACTGCTGCCACTGAAGCCAACTCGAAAAAAGGTAGAAGATTTGAAAGGCTACCAAGAAAGAATCAGGAGAATGAACCATGGATGTAACAGACGAGATTATTGTGAAAGATCACAGCGAGTTAGCGTGGAATGTGCTTTAAAAGGTCGAGGGTTTGACATTCAATTAGACTTCCTGTGTACGCTCCTAGTATACTACATGTGTGAGAAATGCAATCTCCAACATAGTGATCATTGGTGAATGTTGAAGAAAAGGTAAGTCAAACTCCTGCTGGGCCTGGGTTTTGCCTTGCCTTCGGGGGAAATCGAATTCAAAGACCACAAATTCAAAAAATATTTATTATTAGAATATTCAAAACCCTGTTCATATGAAATCAGCCGGTTGCAGTTGTTCTTCAAGATTGGACATACGATCGAATTTCTCCAAGCAGAACTCCTCAATAATGTAGTAGCCGAGTTGGACGAGTATCGATCCGCTGTATGACATCATGAATACAACATAGAGCAATGTGCTGAGCATCAGCTGCTGCTGCTCCAGCCGGTCGACTGATTCCAGCAAAGATGGGAGGTGAGGTGTCCTGTGCGATCAATCGACGTATGTGCGATAACAGAACAAGGGGGAGATGCGGAGAAAACGAGACAGGCGAATTGTCTCGCAAGAGTGGAACGCGTCTGACTAGAAAAGGCCGAATCGTTCCAGTTGCGGTGCAACCTATCGACCGACCATTCAAGAATGCGACAGGTGCACGATCTACCGAATTACTGAGCGGATGAGAATGTTACTTACAAAAAGTTGCCAAGCTTTTCTTTGGTCATCTAATGTTCCCGCTTGATATGTAAAATTTTTGAATAAGATTACTTCCCTTTCGTTTCACCAACCAGACCTTACGCGAGAGTGTGGACGACTATTAGAACGAGCTCATCAACTGTATCAGATCGAACTCAAGACCACTGCCTTGCTTTCTCCAAACATATTTGATCCTCACAGAGGTTACACACAAAACGACACCGATGCTCAAACCGAACTGCTTTAGATGTTCGAAAATGACTCTGGAATAAGAATACACTGAAATGGCAAGTGGTAAACCGAAGTCTCTACTAGAGTTATCGGAGACCCACAAAGGACATAGAGGATCTGATTCCAGTCTGCGAATAATATAGCAATTAACGATTAAATTCAGCTGGATAAGTTGGAATGCAGCGGTTTTCAATAAAACAACTTTTAAGCATGCTCAAGAATTACATGAGCATCGAAGTGTAGGATACTGAACTGCCTCTTCAGATTCTCTCCATCCAGATTCTTCACTTCCCTCAATCGTACACATGCGCGTCACCCACCCAGTTTCGGATGGCAATAAGAGGAATATCTCAGGTTTACGCAACCTACATATATTGACCTCTAACGCACAGACCTAGAAGACAGGGAGTGCGTGCTCCTCTGGATATTCTAGGAGCATTTCAGTTCTTATTAGCTGCTGCCGCAGCATTGTTGTAGCAATCACTCTGATAGAAAAATTGAGACGAAGCGAGAAGCGTATATTTTTAAAAGATAATTCAGCATCTATTTGAGAACGAGAATTTCAATATGGCGATCGCCTGCAGTTTCATGAGGAGTTGCGGCTCTATCACACAGACTTTTAATGCCCCTGTCTACTACTACGATGTATTATTTCTGGTTGTTAAGTAACAGAAAATTGCTGGGTAAATAGCACGAAATAGTCATGTTCTATAAAATAGCGAAGAAATGAATTGTGAATGGAAAGTTTATAGAAAAGAAGAATTGCGTCATTGAAATTGTGATAGAGGAATATCGTCGGAACCGGTCCCTGAAACAGCGGTATGGAGAAGGACGAACACGAGCGCGGCGGCGATGGGTTGTAGAGATTTCAAGGAGAAGATATTATTACCCTATCCACTATCCCGACATCGTTAATGCAAAGTTTCAACGAGAAATTCTGAATTGGTCTTTTGGAAAACTGACGCAGCCCATTTGAGAGACGTTATGAATTAAGTTGGTAGTGCAGGGTATATCCGGGCGGTCAAAACTCCGTCAAGGGGGAGAAAAACGAGAAAAACCTCCGAGAGCGGAACAACTCCTACATTTTGACATTTGCGGTTCTAGGAAGGGGTCGACATACGAAACACCGATCAGGTTGGTTTTCAAGTAAGCCTTGCTCATGGCAGCATGTTGTATTCGGCGATATCAAAATTTCTATGTCATCTTCATTGAGCTTTCTGTCTTAACACGACGTTGTTTATCATAACTATGCCTATTTTGCTAGCCATCCAACTTGGAGGCCTAGGTTGGGAACACAGGCCTCAACCAGTGTTCAGCGCTTCAATTAACACTTCGCTGCTACTGTCTCACTTTTTGTTTTGAAAGTGTACCACAAAGCCTTCTCACTCTTTAGAGCATAATTCCTCTAGAAGTATGTAGCCCTTTCCAAAAATTACCTACCTACGTTTAAGGCAATGAGCCCGATGTGTATGCAATAAAATGGACCGAAAAAGAGGGGGCGACAGATAACATCGTACAGAAATGGTGAGTGAGAACAATTATGCAATTATCAGCTAATGAAATGCAGGAATTTACAGAGGGCAAGCAAGGGTAAGAAGGCAGGGTGTTGATGCGAATTCAGACAGAAGCTCTAGGAAGGCGTGGCGAAGTTTTTCGATTCAATCTGTTTTGTATCATCGACAGGAAAGTCTGTTTACATTACCATCCTTTCATAGGAACTGTCATAGTTGGGGAATTCAGGAGAATGGATTGCTTTGTTTTGATCTCTTAGGATATATCTACAAACCGTAAAGGTGCGAGCGCGCCTGACTACCACATTTACCTCTCAGGCTTCCTTAAAGGTTACCCCGAACTCCACAGAATAGTAGCAAAAGGTCATGCCAGGTACTAGAGGGCAATATCTCAGAGGGCGTAGTTTATTCAAAACTCACTGACTGAATATCTTTGCATCAATAGCGTCACGTATTTCGCACCTACTTTACCCTACAAGTATTGTTGGCGATGCCAGGATGTGGCAAGGAACATTCAAAATGAGAAAAGTTTATGTGAGGATCAGTAGAAAAGGATGCCTTGGAATCATGTGGATTAAACAAGGCTCACTCTTGCATATCATTGCCAGTTATGGGAAGACGCTGAAACTGAGAAACTCGTTATCTCATTTGCTGAAACCACAAAAACTCCATCTGATTGTCTTGTTGGTGACACTTTCAGAGCGTTTTAGTTTTCTTCAGAGGGACTGCTGCACTAAAGTCAAGGCGGAGTAATCATTTCAGCATGTATTATGACAACAGGGCTTAAAGGTACAGTTCACGATTAAAATGACTTTTGAGATATCCCGCTAAGATAAATTTGTAATACACCCGTATGCCATATGTGGCACTGTCATACCTGAAAACGGCCTAGATAGGGCGCTATAAAAATTGAAAGTTTGAACTGTATGTATCCTCAGACGAATTTCACCGGCTTTGTAGAGGGTGCACCATTCGAATGGAAACTCATGTAGGAAGTTAAAACAACTTTTCGTGACTTAAAGCGGCAGTAAAAAACAGTTCTGTACAATTCTTCTTGCTTGATGTAGTCAGCTTTTTGTGAAATTGCAACAACTGAAATCTCGTCCAATAATCCCTTCCCTGATTTCCGTCATGGTGATCTCGTCCAACCTCTATTATCCCTACCTTTGAAGAGCTTCATTTATCTCGAAAATGGCGAATTTTAACGCTTTCTTCACTACCGATGAACTATTCCCACCCCACAGTTCCGTTTTCCGACTGAAAAGGGGTCCTCGACAAAATTATCGTGCACTGTGCCTTCAATCTACGTAGGTCGGCTAACCAACTAAATCATTGGGAAACTTCAGCAACAAACATGTTCAAGTCATCCATACGATAACTGTTTCTATTTTTCACCTCGAGCATATGTGGGAAGGATATAAGACAGAACTGATCTTTTTACCTTTTCAGAAAAAGGAAGCGACTCTTCAACGGGGTTCTGGAGGGTTTCTAAATCAAAAACAGATTTGCCCTGTATCGCAGAGGCCTCTTCCTGCTCAGAATTCAAGCCACTAGTGAATCAGCAACCTAACCAATTCAAAGATCATCAATTTAGGGGAGGAAGTAGACTCGTTTCCCGACTTGTGACTTTCACGACAATGAAGGAATGAAAGAACTAGAAACTGCGATAAGTTTTTGCCCTGACTCTAGTTTTGAATGAAATGAATTTTGATGAATTGTTAGCGTGAGTCGTTATGATCATCATCACTTACATACAAGTAGTTATTTTTTTCATTCTGGCATGGTATGGGAAATCGTTCGAACTTACCCGTCGCTGGCTGCTGACTCAATCGACGTCTCACTGTTGTCGGTGAGTGATTGACTGTGTGTCCACATCCAAATAGCTAGGTGCCGATGATCCATACCCATAGGCGTCGAATTCGGCATCTAAATTAAGCACTTTACAGTGATACAGTAATTTCATGACTGACAGAAAAGATTCGCTTGAGAGTCGAACACTGGGCAGCGTTTAAAAAAAGCAAATGAATTAATGTTTTCGACATCAATTAATAGTTCCGCCATGCACTTAACTTCCGCTCCCATGGGAGGGTAGATTGGATGTCTATTGCATTGCACGACAACAATGATTTGTGCGAGTAAAAACTGAAAAAACAGGGAAAAAAACTTCTTTTGGATGAAGTCTTCGATGAACTCATGAGGCTTAATCAACCTGGGACAAACTTCAATCTCATAGAAAGTGAGATGCCCAGTTTCCGCATTAAAGGCTCTGTTTAAGATTAAAATGGTTTCTGAGATTTCTCGATAGTATGAATTCTATAGGCTACTCCTTACACCATACCTGGCATTATAATCTCTGGCCCCTCATTGTGCCTTGGATAGGGCACAATATGGGGCCAGAGATTGCATCGTGTGAATGGTGTGAATGGCGTTATGTAGATGTCACAGTCTGAACTATATTGATCCACCTTTTTCTCGTCTATGCAGAAACTTGGATCTGGTTGTGAGATGGTCAAACTGAAGAACGAAAGTTTCCTCCCACCCTATTAAACATGACAAGATAGTGGCAATGGTACAACTCGAAAATAGTTTGAGTGTGCCTTCTTTGGTGCCGACTTCATGAGTTCAAAAAAAGTTCCAGAACTGGAACTTTAGAGGGTCGTCTTGATCTTCAGTTCGGTGTTGTTGTTAAAACTGACACAGTGCCTGGAGCAATGAGTATAGGGCTGACATCAGTACACACCAATATTCAACAAGTTATTGATGAGTGAATAGGAATCGCATAAGTTTCAAATTTCTCATGGAAGAGCTCCCAGATCTTCGGGTGCCACTTTGCGTTGAATTGAGTACTCATATATGAAAAATCATGAGGCGGAGGTGGTGTGGTGGCAAGTGGCGCACCATCTCACACGCACGGTCAGGGGTCGAGTCCCGGATCGATGCCCGCCTAGGACAACCAAGCCTTCCGTCCGGCCGAGGTCGGTGAGTTGATACTAGACTCGTCTGGGAGGATAAAAGCGCTGATTTGTACATCGGCCACCGCAATGCATTGTGAAGGCCACGTACGCACTCATTACTCCGCTACGATTCTGAATGGAAAAGGAGTGGGCGCATCCCTCATACGGGATTGTTTAACGTTAAAGATTTTATCCTCCGTCTTTTTATTTGAAAAACCATATTTTGAATAGCCACAATGCATATTACATTCTTGCATGTACAAAGAGTGATAGTTACAGAATTCCTCCTTTTTATGCATGGCTGAATCAAAAAATAATTTGCAGTCTCAGATGAGATTGTGAAGTATTGGTCACGACGATACACATTCACTGGGACTAACGTTTCAGTAGCTTCCCCAGACAGAGGCTGTGAACCGAAAATACTCGAAATTCTTCCCATAAAAGGTGTACCAGTCTCATGAGTAGAAATCAAGATCAGATTTATAAATGGTGATGGGTAACACACCTTAGATAGTACTGGGGTAGACCTGTAGGCAATCTTTCAAAATGCCTTTGGACCCGCTTTGCAGTGGGTGATCCTCGGCTAATCTTAACTTGGACTTAGAGCCAATGGCGGTTCAGGCCAACCCAGGTCGAGGGACACGGCAAGCTTGTTTGTTGCTTGTGCTTCCTACTCGTTTTGTGACTCTTCACGCTAATTTGAAACGCTTCCTAAGTTTTTCCCACTGAGGTTTAAGCTCTAACATCGAAATTATCAATGTTGCCTTGAACTCTACGGATTCGTGGCGTTGCCTTACCACCTCCCATGGGAGTTGGAGGCCTCGCTCTGTTTAGACTATGCTTTCGCTTCTGTTACCAAATAACTCACGTTTGACGTTATGCGTTTTTCCTCTAACCCGAATGGGCATAAGAAAGGCATATGATTTAGGCAAAGCCATCCCCACGTTCGAACCGATGGAGTTCCACGTGAACACCAAGAGCAATCTGGCCAGACTTTTTGTTTTTTCAAAGGCTATCCATTAGATGTCGTAATTTTATTGCAAACTCCACGGAACCTGCCTCTTCCTGACTGTCCGAAGAATCATTTTAGTTGTTCTTATTACGGTGGTCGTGATCGCATGTCTGGATTCGAGTGGATGCCCTGACTTGGAATGTACACAATGCTTTTGTTGAGACCCTTTCCACACCACTTTGTCAGCAGGAACCCATGCTCAATCTGGATTCACACGTTAGAGTAAGGCAGCTTCTCTGCCTCTGACGTGCAAATCGGATGTTCTCAAAATGATTGTTCATTAGTTCTTTTACGCATGTCATTTCTCTGCGTGTTGAGCAGGAGACGTAGCAGTTGTCTATACTGTCTATAGAGAAGAGGTCAGGGAGCCCACGCAATTTTTTTCAAATTTCCACATCTCTATACATCATTACTAGAACTAAACGTAGCTGCCTACTCGTGTAGGAGATGAAGGGTAGGTCACCACACTATCTGACGAAATGGAATGATGAAAATCCATTCACTCAAGCTGATATTTGGCAGAGCTCGCCAAGGAAAGCACGGAGGATCGAGGTGAAAAAATAAAAATGTGATAGGTTAAGAAGCCAAATGAGCTCAAGCTACCTTGCAATAGAATGATTATAAGTGAGGAGCTGAGGAAAGGGTCGACTGAAAATTAGCAATGCCAGAACAGTATTGAAGAAGAGTTATGAAGCAGTAATTCATTAGGATAATGAAAAATATCGGCACCAGACCTACTTCGTAGTTTTTTTGCAGTATATACGGCGTTTTCCAATGTTCCGATCAAATTCCGATTATGACAGCAACTCTGTCAGGTAGTTGTCGTGAGAGTAATGGGAGCGAAGGGAGGAAGCTACTGATAAACTATGCTGTTAGCGAATTTACGACCATAAAGTGATCTGCTGACAGGGAGATGCCCCGCATTCCGAAATTTACGCCCAGCTCCAATAGGTTTAGGCCAAAGTACGACTTTTGGTAAATAACAGGCTATTTAGAGTTCGCAAAAAAACTTGCACTTTAGCGAACTTTTTTTGACTTGCCTCATCTTCAAAGTTCTCTCTCGGAACCACATCAGACTTGTTTGGCATCCAACAACTACCGAGCCACTACCACTAACCAAAAAGCAAAATAAACTTACCAACTCAAGGTTGTACTCAGTAAAAGCGTCCATTAGTTTAAAAAGCAACTCTCATGTGTCTTACCCTGAGTCCCTCTATTAAAATAATTTTTCTGCTCTTATGACAATTGTTCATGAGGGATTGCACTTTCTGTCCAGAACGCGACCGTTTTATCTGTTGGAGATTTGTTGGAGATGACTTTGTCAGGAAACAATGAAGAGTTGCATGTTTTTTCACTTGAGTGAGTTACCAACCTTCTGCATTTGTTGATCCTACACTCTTCACGATAGCAATTAAACGGTGCTTTTGCTCAACAATCTGTCAACTCGACAACTCCGACAGGTAATGCTCCAGAATCAGAACTGACCCGTAAACGAAATATTTTAGCGTCTTCGGCACACTGACCTTTTCACCCTTTCCAGCATTGCCTTTGATTGATTCTGCTTCTCTATATCGTTCAGTAACTTTATATAAGGTATTTGTCTTGGCTCTTCCGCACCTTGCTTGCAAACAATTGCAAGTGGCATTGAGAACCCTTTCCCATCGAGAAGATATTGGGAACGGCACTTCATTAACTGCGAGAAATCCAATTATCCAACTAATTAATAGCGAATTGAATAAAAAAATATCAGTTATTTCTGCCCAACAAATTTCTGAACTTTGACGCCCATAACATTGGGACTCCCTGTAAATATACCTAAATATACCTGGAAACGCGACTTTGCTTTCTCTGGGTAAGATACGACTAACATCGAACACTTTCTCCTTCACCTTGAAGTCTTCCTAGTATACAGTAAGGTGAGCTCTCATCTCAATTTCTGGTAAGAAAATATCATTGGCTGGGCTTCTTCGAAAGAGTTAGCATCGTGACAATATGTGAGAGACTGGCTCCCTTCTTCTCCATCATATACACTTGTTTGCTGCACCCATAAGGTACATTCTAATCCTCCCCTCCCATCAGAGTATTACGGTGCTTAGCTATTGCGCATTTTGTGCCAGTTTGTTCCACTATAACACATCACATTTCATCAAATAAAACACCAAGCAAAATGTCTTTGTTCATCATCGTTCGCAATAAAACCTAAGGCCGCAAAATATTCCAATCTCAGCCAACAATTTGACGGAGGGGCAGTCAACAAAGCCAATTTATGAGATGGTTTATGAACAAAGGGTACGATATGAGCCGCTTTTCTCACAAAAGAACCTATCTATGTATGGTTTACAAGCTATTGTACCATAGTAATAAAATAGGTTCTTTTGGTTTTTATAATATGGTTCACTCCAGAACCAGAGGAGGTCAGACCAAAATAAATCCCCCTAGACCCAGAACCAGTATAAGAGCCAGGAGTTTCACATTCAGAGCGGCTAGCCTTTACAAAAAGGTAACAAAAAACATGATTGCTCCGGATTCCTTAACTAAGTTCAAACGCTCTGTGAAAGTAATTTTATCCAAGTATGAGCTTTCATAGTTTCTTGCGGTTGACCAATTCTTCTTCTTCACATTTGTTTTATATCTAACGTAGGAGTCATTTGCCTTATTTGATGTGGTTTCTTTATACGTGTACGTTTTATCTACGTGTGTTCCTTGTATTTGCTCCATTATTTAACTTAGTTCCAGAAGGTTGATATCATCTTATACTACGTTTGCCTTAGTAGCGTAATAAACATAACATAACATAATGCGACGTATTGCGACGTCAATCCATCGTTGCAAACTCGATGCTAGCAATCGGAGTTTGCAGTGAGTTGGTGAGCGCAATTAATGAGTAACTCGCTCCTAATCATGGCGTCTTGCTGTGGTAGCCAAGCNAAAAAAAATGTTGTCCATCATAATCAAAGTAA